ACCTAACCTAAACCTAACCTAACCTAACCTAACCTAACCTAACCTAACCTAACCTAACCTAACCATAACCTAACCTAACCTAACCTAACCTAACCTAACCTAACAACCTAACCTAACCTAACCTAACCTAACCTAACTACCTAACCTAACCTAACCTAACCTAACCTAACTAACCTCACCTAGCCTTCCTAGCCTAACCTAACCTAACCTAACTTTAGTCTAACCTAACCAACCTAACCTTACCTTACCTAACCTAACCTAACCTTACCTAACCTAACCTAACCTAACCTACCTTACCTAACCTAACCTAACCTAACCTTACCTACCTAACCTAACCTAACCTTACCTTACCTAACCTAACCTAACCTAACCTTACCTAACCTACCTAACCTTACCTTACCTAACCTAACCTAACCAACCTTACCTAACCTAACCTAACCTAACCTAACCTAACCTAACCCAACCTAACCTAACCTAACCTAACCTAACCTAATCTAACCTAACCTAACCTAACCTAACCTAACCTTACCTAACCTAACCTAACCTAACCTAACCTAACCTAACCTAACCTAACCTAACCTTACCTAACCTAACCTAACCTAACCTTACCTAACCTAACCTAACCTAACCTAACCTAACCTTACCTAACCTAACCTAACCTAACCTTACCTAACCTAACCTAACCTAACCTAACCTAACCTTACCTAACCTAAGCTAACTACAGTATTGCTGTTGTATTCCACAGGTAACTACAGTGTTGTATTCGTTGTATTCCACAGGTTGCAGTGTTGTTGTTGTATTCAATAAGTAACTACATTGTTGTATTCCTTGTATTCCACAGGTAACTACAGTATTACTGTTGTATTCCACATGTAACTACAGTGTTGTATTCCTTGTATTCTCCAGGTAACTACAATGTTGTATTCCTTGTATTCTCCAGGTAACTACTGTGTTGTATTCCTTGTATTCTACAGGTAACTACAGCTGCCTCGTAGCAGAATTCCACATGCGTCGGGCTATTGGATTCCACCTGGTACAAAGTTACCTGCCAACCATCCTCATTGTGGTCATCTCCTGGGTGTCCTTCTGGATGGACGTTGACTCAGTACCTGGGAGAACCACCCTGGGAGTTACTACCCTCCTTACTGTCTCCTCCAAGTCCTCAGGTCAGTAACTTAATGTGTTTTACAGGTCACCAGGTCAGTAAGAAAAGTCTTAATGTTTAATACAAGTCCTCAGGTCAGTAACTTAATGTGTCTTACAGGTCACCAGGTCAGTAAGAAAAGTCTTAATGTCTGATACAGGTCGTCAGGTCAGTAAGAAAAGTCTATATGTCTAACACAAGTCCTCAGGTTAGTATCTAAAGTCTTAATGTGTCTTACAGGTAGCCAGGTCAGTAAGAAAAGTCTTAATGTGTCTTACAGGTCTTCAGGATAGTAAGAAAAGTCTTAATGTGTATACATAATTCATCAAGACAGTAGGAAAAGTCTTAAAGTGTCTTACAGGTCTTCAAGATATTAATAGAAAGTCTTAACGTCTTCTGGACCACAGAGTTCCCTCCCAGTAGCCATAACTTCCTTCTCATGGCTATATTATGACTGATGAAATCCCTCTGATACGACTGCAAACAAATCAGGCAAAGCGGTGGGGATCGAACTCATGGCAAGTAAGCCCTAAAGCACCACAGGCCATTGCGTTAACCACTGGGCCATATTCCACAAGATAAAGAATACGCTATAAGCCTGTCTTCAGGCGGTACTCAGGGAAAAGACGGGTGTACAATGTACATTACGTACTCTGTGCTCGGTTTTAATTAGGCGAGAGGACAGGGGATGTAGAATCTAGCCTTCAGGAGCACAAATACAGTACTCATGCAGAATGGAGGATGTACTCAATATTCACAACATACACGCCAGGTACACATCACCACATTCACTACACTAAACACTGGTGTCTCGAGACACAACATTCACTACACTAAACACTGGTGTCTCGAGACACAACATTCACCACACTAAACACTGGTGTCTCGAGACACAACATTCACCACACTAAACACTGGTGTCTCGAGACACAACACTCACCACACTAAACACTGGTGTCTCGAGACACAACATTCACCACACTAAACACTGGTGTCTCGAGACACAACATTCACTACACTAAACACTGGTGTCTCGAGACACAACATTCACCACACTAAACACTGGTGTCTCGAGACACAACGTTCACTACACTAAACACGTGTCTCGAGACACAACATTCACCACACTAAACACTGGTGTCTCGAGACACAACGTTCACTACACTAAACACTGGTGTCTCGAGACACAACATTCACCACACTAAACACTGGTGTCTCGAGACACAACGTTCACTACACTAAACACTGGTGTCTCGAGACACAACATTCACTACACTAAACACTGGTGTCTCGAGACACAACATTCACTACACTAAACACTGGTGTCTCGAGACACAACATTCACCACACTAAACACTGGTGTCTCGAGACACAACATTCACCACACTAAACACTGGTGTCTCGAGACACAACGTTCACTACACTAAACACTGGTGTCTCGAGACAACATTCACCACACTAAACACTGGTGCCCTCGAGACACAACATTCACTACGCTAAACACTGGTGTCTCGAGACACAACATTCACCACACTAAACACTGGTGTCTCGAGACACAACATTCACCACACTAAACACTGGTGTCTCGAGACACAACGTTCACTACACTAAACACTGGTGTCTCGAGACAACATTCACCACACTAAACACTGGTGTCTCGAGACACAACGTTCACTACACTAAACACTGGTGTCTCGAGACACAACATTCAACACACTAAATATTGGTATATCGAGACACAACATTCACCACACTAAACACTGGTGTCTCAAGACACAACATTCAACACACTAAACACTGGTGTCTCGAGACACAACATTCACCACACTAAACACTGGTGTCTCGAGACACAACATTCACCACACTAAACACTGGTGTCTCAAGACACAACATTCAACACACTAAACACTGGTGTCTCGAGACACAACATTCAACACACTAAACACTGGTGTCTCGAGACACAACCATTCACCACACTAAACACTGGTGTCTCAAGACACAACATCAACACACTAAACACTGGTGTCTCGAGACACAACATTCACCACACTAAACACTGGTGTCTCAAGACACAACATTCAACACACTAAACACTGTGTCTCGAGACACAACATTCACCACACTAAACACTGGTGTCTCAAGACACAACATTCAACACACTAAACACTGGTGTCTCGAGACACAACATTCAACACACTAAACACTGGTGTCTCGAGACACAACATTCACCACACTAAACACTGGTGTCTCAAGACACAACATTCAACACACTAAACACTGGTGTCTCGAGACACAACGTTCACTACACTAAACACTGGTGTCTCGAGACACAACATTCAACACACTAAATATTGGTATATCGAGACACAACATTCACCACACTAAACACTGGTGTCTCGAGACACAACGTTCACTACACTAAACACTGGTGTCTCGAGACAACATTCACCACACTAAACATTGGTGTTTGGAGACACAACATTCACCACACTAAGCACTGGTGTCTCGAGACACAACATTCACTACACTAAACACTGGTGTCTCGAGACAACATTTACCACACTAAGCACTGGTGTCTCGAGACACAACATTCACTACACTAAACACTGGTGTCTCGAGACAACATTTACAACACTAAGCACTGGTGTCTCGAGACACAACATTCACTACACTAAACACTGGTGTCTCGAGACACAACACTCACTACACTAAACACTGGTGTCTCGAGACACAACGTTCAATACACTAAACACTGGTGTCTCGAAACACAACATTCACTACATTAAACACTGGTGTCTCGAGACACAACATTCACTACACTAAACACTGGTGTCTCGAGACACAACATTCACTACACTAAACACTGGTGTCTCGAGACACAACACTCACTACACTAAACACTGGTGTCTCGAGACACAACGTTCAATACACTAAACACTGGTGTCTCGAAACACAACATTCACTACATTAAACACTGGTGTCTCGAGACACAACATTCACTACACTAAACACTGGTGTCTCGAGACACAACATTCACCACACTAAACACTGGTGTCTCGAGACACAACATTCAATACACTAAACACTGGTGTCTCGAGACACAACATTCAATACACTAAACACTGGTGTCTCGAGACACAACATTCACCACACTAAACACTGGTGTCTCGAGACACAACATTCACCACACTAAACACTGGTGTCTCGAGACACAACATTCAATACACTAAACACTGGTTTCTCGAGACAACATTCACCACACTAAACACTGGTGTCTCGAGACACAACGTTCAATACACTAAACACTGGTGTCTCGAGACACAACATTCGATACACTAAACACCGGTGCCTGAAGGTTGTTAACATTCACCACAGGGACACCATAGAACAGAACAGGAGGACGTACAGTGTCTCTGAACCATTACACAAATATCCTGGGAATAACATTTTACACACAACAACCATTGTCTGACCTTCCTTTACTGCCCTATCTACTTCCCTCCCTCCCTCCTTCCCTCCTTCCCTCTCCTCCCTCCCTCCCTCCCTCCCTCCCTCCCTCCTTCCCTCCCTCCCTCCCCTCTTCCCTCCCGGACTAATGGATGTAAACTTGGACTCCCAGAAGTAAGTCCTGTGTAGTGACTAACTTAGTTTGATGTGACTTACTCTATTTATTTGATGATTGTTAGTTCTTTTTTCTTGTGTGTGTGTGTGTGTGTGTGTGTGTGTGTGTTGTGTGTGTGTGTGTGTGTGTGTGTGTGTGTGTGTGTGTGTATAACTCTGCATGTACATGTGTGTAAGAGTGTGTACGTGAGTATAACTTCCCTCCTCCCCCACACACTGTCAGTATCAGCCTTAC